TTCCCCTCTCTCTTCTTCTCAGCTCAATATCTTCTGGACACTGAGGGAGATGAGGAGAAAACATGGCCCTGTGGAGGTTCCTCGGAGGAGGTAATGCTGTTCCAGCATGCAGTGCAATCTTACCTGTGAACTTGAGACTTGCCTCTCAAGTGTATGTATCCTTAATTAGAACCCAGGATTCCTCAATGTCCCCATGGCAGTGGCCCTGAGTGGCCCTCCAGTCTCTATTCTTTTCTTTTTTCCTGGGATACAGCCCTTTGTAATTGATCTTAATAAAATACTACATTTTTCCATCTTCCCTAGTAGCTACGTGGGCCATGTGGCTATGTTCTGGCCAATAAGATATAAGTGGAAATATTGTGGACAACAACTTCTGGGATATGTTCTTAGGATATGCTTTTCTCTTCTTCCAGTTGTCTGGAACACAGATGTGATAGTTGGCTCCCAAGCAGCCATCATGTACCCTGTCAAAAGAAGAGTGGAATACCAAAAACTGAAGGAGCCTCAGTGTGTGATAACTTACATGCCAGTCCTGGAGTGTCTGTCTCCAGATCTCAGGTGCGTGTGTGTGTGTGTCTGTGTCTGTGTCTGTGTGTGCGTGAGAGAGAGAGAGAAAGAGAGACAGAGAGAGGGAGAGAGAAAGAGATAGAGAGAAAGGCTTTTTAGTTTAGTCTGTCATATGTTACAGAAACTAATTTTAACAGAAAAACGCATAATTTGGCCATAGCCCCAAATGGTAGCAGGTAGATACTCCGTGGAAGTATGAAGCACTCCTGTACCTCCCAGAACACCTTCCCCTCCGATCCCTATTCTGGGGTCTCACGTCTCCCTTCCACAGCAGACCAGGACAAGCACAGTCTACTCCCTGCTTCCTGCCATCTGACGTCCTCCGAATCGCCTGCGTTCAGTGGAACAACTTCAGCTGTGATGCAGCCCTCACCTTGCTCTCGATGTTAGGACGCTGGTTGGGACATCCAGAAGCCCACAGACCTTGTCCCGGGACCAGGAGGACATTTGGTTTCCACATGTGAGTCCCTGTAACTTTTCGCTATGGTTTCTCCCCACTCCTACCCGACTTGGGTCAGGCTCACATCAGAACGCTGAGCAGGCTCTGCGAGGTGCTCTCTTCTAGAATGTTCTTCTCCTTCCTGCCTGGGGGAAAGCAGAGAAGAATAAATCCTACGGCCAGGCGTGGTAGCGCACACCTGTAATCCCAGCACTCACGAGGCTGAGGTAGGCAGATCACTGTGAGTTCGAGACCAGCCTGGGCTACATAGTGAGTTCCAGGTCAGTCTCAACTATACAGTGAGACCCTGTCTCAAAAACCAAAAAAACAAACAAACAAAAAAACAAAACAATAAATCCTAGGGATGAGCACCAGGTTCCGGTGGTGCCCCAATGGGAAGTGCTTGGTCCCTGAGTGACTTCACAGAGCAGCATGGACCAAAGGGACCACAACCTGAGATGTTGCTGGATCTGATGTTGGCCACTGTGTTGGGGCCTCCAGCCCAGCCATGGAGCGGGCGCCCCTATTTTCTCTGTCTGCCCTCTCCACGTACAGCACCTTCACTCCTCACTGTCCCCAGAACTGTCCTTGCATCACCTGTCCTGAGGCCTCTCCCTTCCTTCTAAACCACAGGACCCCGAATTAGCATCTATCTCACTGTTCACCCCATCACCCCATCAGCTCAAAGCCCCCCATGGCTCCCTGCTGCTTATCCAAGATCAGGATGCCATCTGTCCTGCGTCCATCACTTTGATTTGCTGGCCCCCCTCCTGGATCCCCAAGTCCCCCATTTCTACTCATCGGTGCCTCTTCCTGGTCCAAGTCCGCATCCAGCGCTGCCCACTTCTGACGTTTCTGCGTCTTCTTGGCGGAATGGGCCTGGGCCCCTGCTGATGATAGCCCTTCCCACAGCTGCCCGGAGGGAGTGGTGGTGTCCGTGACCTTCCAGACTGGACGGGAGGTCGTCAGAGGACAGAGACCACATCCTGGTCACCTCCTGATTGCCCCCTGCCTAGGGTAATGCTACGTCGGGGGGCAGATGCCCAGCGGGTGCTTGCCAGGGAACAGTTGTTTTCGGGGTAGGAAGCTCTGCAGTGGCTTTGTTGCAGGTGAGCAAGTGCTTTCCCGTTCTCTCGCAGGCTTCCCAAGGGTGGCTGCTCTACCAGCTTCTCCGGGTCTGGGACAGCAGCTCTCTGTGGGTCCTGAGGGCAGAACTCAGCAGTAGAAGCCCCCCGCGCCGAGGCCAGGGTGTGTCACTTCAGCGCGTTACTCACTGTTCCCGAGCCTCAGTTTATCTTCCAGCATTGTTGTGGATTAGAGGAGGTAGTATATAAAAAAGCAGGTAGTACGGTACTGGGTACACAGAAAGCGCTCACCAAATGGCAGTAATGTACGTGGCATGGTGCTGAATGCCTGTAATTCTAACACTCTGGGAAGCTGAGGCAGGAGGACTATAAATTCAACTCAGCAAAACCCTGTCTCACGAAAATTTTAAAAAGTGGGGAGGATTGATTTTAAGCTACCTACGATAGTCTAGGAATAGGAGCTGGGAAGTGGTGTGCAGCTGCCTCTATGGAACACCAAAACCCCCTGCAGCACAGGCTCGGTGGTGGCTGACACCTGCACTTGGGGAAGGAAGGTGGACATGTGTGGCTTCAGGGTGCAGGGAAGGAAAGGCCCCGACACAGCACAGCAATGTGGTCCCTTTGCCAAACAATGATAATGATGATAATGATAATAGTAATTATAATAATACGGATAGATCCCGGAGTCTGCTAGCCTCTGCCAAATCCCAGCTCTGCCATTTCTTGACTATGTGACCTTAGGCAAGTTGTTTCACCACCTCTAAGCCTCAGCTTTCTTATCTGTAGAGAGGGTCGAGGACAGTGCCCACTACACAGCATCTGCCCGGGCTGCAGAAGTGCACGCTGGCCCTTGCGGGTGGAGTGGGTCCCTGCTCCACATTACAGCTTGTCAGGCTGGTGGCCGGACGCCTCGGTCTTGCTAACTTAGGATGGAAAACCTCAGAACAGTTCCCTGGGACACAATCTTTTTTTTTTTTTTTTTTAATCCCACTCTTGGATTCCGTGGAGATGGAGGGCTTTATTTGTACTTTGCGTTTGTATATAGTTTTTCAATCCCAGGGACTTGCATCCTCCAGGCTCTCTCCCACCCAGCCACTCCCCAGCCCAGGATCAAGGGTGCTAAACCTGCAGGCCCCCCGGCTACCTGAAATTACTGAGCCCTTGTGCAAATGCATCCTCCTTTCCAGGAGAGGCTGCAGCAGTCACTGGACTACCCGTTAAAGGCTGTGGCTTCTCTCTCCTCCCTCCAGAGGGACCTGTAGTACTCCTGTCCCTGCTTTCTCCACACTCCCAATTCCTAGGTGTCTCTCTTCTCTTCTGCCAATGTCCCTCCTGTGTGTCAGTGGCTCCACACTGCATAGGTGGGAAGAGGCAGGATCAAGACTGGCCCACGGGTCACTGTGATCAGCGCTGTCATCTCTCTTCATCTGACCTGTGTTTTCTTTCTGTTGTTCACACACCCACTTTTTAAGGCACGGTCAACCTGTGGTAGTTTGGGCAAAGTTCTGACTGTATTTTCAGGTGGGGGCTGTATTTAGTTCTTGATCAATGACAGAAGGGGTGGCAGGTAGCTGCTGTCTTTCTGCCTAGCTTTCTCTTTACAAAGAAAAGAAGATCCCATTCAGTCATAGTGGTACATGCCTGTAATCCCAGAACCTTGGAGGCTTGCAGGAAGATCTCAAGTTTGAGGGCAACCTGGCTTGTGTTGAGATGTCCCCACAACCTTATGCTTTTTCAGAGGTGGCTGAATCTAGAGTGTGTGATTGAGTCATGGTGGGGCGAGGCCCAAGGGCACTAAGATTAAGGACATGAGTGCTACCCACCCTAAGTAGTCTGAATAAGACAAAAGGGGCTGAAAGATGCTGTAAATGTCTCTTGTTGCTTTTATCTTCTTCCACCGCTGTGAACTATGGCCCATCTGCCACCCTGCCTTGGAGCCAGCTGGTTATGGACTTAAACCACTACGAACTGTAAGCCAAATAAACCTTTCCCCCTTTGGCTTTGAGTGTCAAGTATGTTGTCTCAGCAACAAGAGAAAAAGTAACCAACATACTGGGTTATATAGGGAGATGAGACTCTGTCTAAAACAAAAAAAGGGAAAAAATAAAGAAAGAAATCCTTTCTCCCTAGACTGGCATTGTGTGAGGGGTACAGGGCTAAACGGACTGTGTCTCTAACCAAAGTTCTTTATAGGAATAAAATTTGCTTTTGAATCCCACTCTACAGCACTGCATTATGTATCTATAGATATCTAAAAACTGTACCAACATTGAATTATGACTCCTACCCTGGTCACTTTATCAAGAATCTGTGGTTTAAGCCAGGCACAGTGACACATGCCAGTTTGTTAAGTTACTTTGTTTTTGCTGAGATACATTACCCAACACCCACAAGTTAAAAGAGGAAAGTTGTATTTTGGCTCACAGTTTGTCAAGGTTTTAGTCCATAGTCAGCTGGCTCCATTACTGAGCGGTGTAGCTGAGGAGAAACAGTTCATGGCATGGAGGCAGGATACAGGGAGGGAGCAAGGGAAGAGGAAGGAGATAGACCTTTCCAGACCATGCCTCCATTGACCCACCTCCTCCCAGCAGCCTCTGCGCCCCAACATCACAGTTATAAAGTCATCAGTGGACAAATCCACTAGTAAATATCAAGCTCCCATGATCCGATCGTCTCCCAAAAGCCCGACTTATGAGTACAGGAGACTTTGGGGAAACATCCTGATGTTAGCCACAATACTTATAATCCTGGCACTCTGGGAGGCTGAGGCAGGAGGATCATCATTTCTGGTCCAGCCTGACTGACCTAGTGAGGCTTTGTCTCAAAATTTAAAAATTTAAATGATCTGGGGTTACAGCTCAGTGCCAAGGCCTGGGGGACCCCATGGAAGGCCACCAACTCTAGTTTTGGGTGGTCCTACTGGTGGGTTACAGTGGTGCTCCCAAGTTATCACCCCTGTTAGTCAGAGAGCCCTCAGCAATAGCTCACTTGGGTTAGCCAAGCTAAACAGCACAAACTCAGGGGCAGGGACATGGGAATTTCTTCCTGATGGCTCTGGAGGATGAGGCCTGGGATCCCGGTGCTGGCTGATTGAGTTTCTGGCAAGTGCCCTCTTCCTAGTTTGTAGATGGCCACCTTCTCACTGAGCCCTCACAGGGCCTGTCCTCTGTAAACAGGGGTCTCTCTCCCTCTCTCTCTCTCTCTCTCTCTTACAAGGCCAAAAATACTGCCGAGTAGAGTCTTGCCCTTCTGACTTCATATAACCTTAATTCCCTCCCTAGAGGTCCTTTCCTAAATACAGTTGCATTGGGGGACAGAGCTTCCTGTGAATTTAGGAGGGGCACACAATTTGGTCCGTGACAGCACACAGCATTACATTTCCCGCCTCTCTTGCCGCTACATGTGGCCCTGTGATAAGATCCTACCCAATAAGCTGAGAGTTGTGTGGGTTCCAGGAAGGCCCCCTAAAGGGAACAGGTCCCCTTTTCCTCTTTTTCCTCCTCCTTCCTGGTGCTTGGCATGAGGTGGTGGTAGCTGGGCTCAAGCAGCCTCCTAGGAGGATAAAACTTCCAGGTTGAGTGTAAAGTTGAAGACTGAAGGACCCAGGTCCCTGGTGACTAAGGGCCCACCGTAGCCTGGACTGCCCACCTCCACACTGAGAGAACACAGCTCTTCCTTAAGCCACTAGTTCGGGCTTTCTGTTCTTGTCTGAAAGTGTGTCAAAGCTCACCTGGCCCTCCCTAAATTTTGAGCAAAAACTTTCCAAGTTCCTCTAAGGCCACTGCTAATTTCCTCCCAGCCTCCCCTCTTTGGGATCATCTTCTGCCCACAGATGACTTAAGTCATTCACATCTTTCATGTTTTCCTTTCCAGTGTCTTCTTATCTTGCCCTCCTTCTCTCCAGCATTTACTGAACATCTGCTGTGCTTCGGGCACCATGCTGGCTGCCAGGATCAGGAAGAGGACTAGGAGGAAGTCTTGCTCCCAGGAGCTCAGGTCCCAGCCTTCCTGGAAAATAGGAAGAGAGTCTGATGCTGAGATGGACAGGAAGAAAGGGGAGGCCACTAGGTTCTCTGGAAAGGGACTGGGAGGCTTCCAGAAGGAGGTGACATTTGGCCTGAGATCTAAAGTAGGAGTCTCAGGGCCAGGGATTTAGCACAGCGGTTCCGCTGCCTGCCTCAGAAGCGCGAGGTCCCGAGTTTGATCCCCAGTACAAAAAAAATAAATAAATAAAAGTAGGCATCTCAATGTGCTGTGGTGGTGCATGACTGCAGTGCTAGCACTTGGGAAGTGGAGGCAGGAGGATCACCATGAGTATGAGGCCAGCCTGGGCTTCATAGGGAGTTCAAGGCCGGCTTGAAGTACATAGTGAGACCTCGGGTATGGAGGGCAAAATCACAGGCACGGGCACCGGTGTGGTGTTGCACACATATTGCTTCTTCCCGGCCCCGTCTCCCCACCTGTGAGATGCGGACAGTAGCAACAACGGGGACAACCTAGTGCCTAGAAACGTGAGCCTAGAGGAGGTGCTATTAACAGTGGTGTCCTCTGCCATGTGGCGCTCCCCTGTACACAGACAGTCCTGTATCTGTTTGGGAGACAAGTTTCAGAGAGGACACACGTGACTTGTCTCTGGTCACACAACTCTGAAGAGGCGTCGCCCCAAACCAAGTGTCCTCATCCCGGGCCCAGTGGAACTTCATACCTCTGCTCTCAGCCCACTTGTGGAGTGCCGAGCAAGGGCCTGCAAAGCTAGGGAAACAGTGGTGTGTGGTGAGGGCTTCCTGGATGAGGTGAGCACTGAGAAATGTCAAGAAACTTGAGGGAGAGAGGAAGGTACATGGTGGGCACCACTGAGCAGGGTTGGGATGAGAGCCGGCTGGCTGCAGAGGGTTTGAACGCTGAGGCTCGGTGAGACACAGGCAGGACAGGCAGAGATGAGAAGACCTAACATGATTTCCGGCCACAGATGGAGAGCCAGGGCTACAGGGAGCCACAGAAAGTTCTTGAGCAAGAAGATGGTCATAATGAGATGAGACATGGGGAGAAAAGAGAGATACTTATCTTTAGTAAGAGCATGGGTTGGGTACTTGTAATTCATTTTAGTCCCAGTGTTGGGGGTCAAACCCAGAGCCTCCCACATGCTAAGTAAGTGCTCTACCACTGAGCCACACCCTCCCCTCCAATTTATTATTTCCTCTGAGGTTTGCAACAACTCCAGTAGCTTGCTCTCAATGTTGAAAACCAAAGTTGAGAGAAATGCAGCCAGAGTGAGGCAGTGGGGGACCCATCCGGTTGGTCTGACCCTAGTCTGTGCTCACCCAGCACCAGCGCCCCCACCACATAGCCTGGGTCACACTGGCAGAGAGGGATCAATACCCCTGGGACTTATGGGTAGGGTTAAGGACTTGGCCTGTGCTCTAATAGAAATGAGTTCCCAAGGGCTGGGCACGGTGGCCCACACCTATAACCTCAGCACATGGGAAACTGAGGCAGGAGGATCACCACGGGTGCACGGCCAGCCTGAGCTACATAGTGAGTTCACGGCCAGCCTAGACTACATAGCGAGACCCTGTTTTTAAGGAACAAAGAAGCGGAAAGAAAAGGAAGGAAGGCAGGAAGGAAGGAGTAAGAAATGGATTCACAAATCCTAGCTTCCTTGTTTGAGCAGTGATCTTAACCTCACCAAAGCCCAACTTTAGAGGGGCAGTTAGATGAGCCCTGGGTTGGGAGCCAGGGCAGGCACAGGTTGAGACCCTGGCTGGAAGTGACAAGCACTCAAGGAGGTGAAATGACAAGGTGCCTGTATTCATTTGAAAAGAATGAGGAGGTGAGTTGGAGAGGTAGGGAGGAAGTGAGATTGCCCATGAGCTGATGGGTTTATGGGAGCCCAGCACACAATTGCTTCTGTATCTGAAAGGTCCATCATAAAAACAATGACGCAAAAGACTTGACAACAAACCCTCTCTGTCCGGCACCCCTCCCCAGCTGAGTCACGGTCCCCAGGCCCCAAGCATTGTGCAGGCAGCCAAGTGCGAATCCTGCTCGTCCTCCATCACGCACCAGCTGCAGGACCTCAAGCTGCTGTCCTTCCTGCTAAGCTGTTTCCTCATCTGAAAAGTGGGGCAAGGAATCTAATGTCTTCGTGGAACTGTGATGATTAAATGGGATCATGTCAACTTTCTACTGCAGACGAAAAGGCCACAGAAGGAACTCCAGGTTTGTTCTGGCTCAGGGTTTCTGTCCACGGTTGGCCACCCCATTGTGTTTGGCCCCATGGTGAGGCAGAAACACTGCAGTGGAACTGAACGAATGCACTGGCCACACTAGTGATCACGACCCAGCCGCCCTGCAAAAGCCCATCGCTGGCAGCACGCAGCCTTTGGGGGACATTTAAAGCCAAGTCCTAGCAGGGATAGCACGGGATGGTGGCGGCTGGAAGTGGTCTCTGACAGATGGGAGTAGGTCACCCAGGGCTTTGCAGCCATCTGAACACCAAAAGGTCACCACGCTGAGGAGCCTGGCAGGGGACCAACCCCACCTCCCAGGAAATTTAGGAGTTTACCTGAAGTGCGAGGATTTTGACACCTAGAAGGGACTTTGCACCCTTCTGTGTCCTGTCTGAGAAGAGACACAGTGAGCACCGCACAGCCGGGTGTGTCCGAGTCTAAGCAGGTGGAGGACCTCTGAAAGCGGGTGCATGGGTCATAGGGGAGCCACAAGTGGGCTGTCCGGGACTGTGTCTGGGTTTGTGTTGCTTGTGCTCACTTCAAGGTCCACAGGCTGTGACATTTCAGCAGCTGATCCTGCTTCAAGCACACATTCCTGGTGGCCATTTATTCTGAATTCGAGCAGCACGAGGACACGGGGGGGGGTCACTTGGTGTCACCACCAGAGGGACAAGTGGGGATAGGGTTGCGTGGAGGAAAAGGGTGTGCTTTCAGCTGTGACTTAGCCATTGGCTTGCAGTACTCGGTCTCAGTTTCTCCATCAGTGCCAATAAAGGGATGCACTGGTGGGAAATAATCAGTGAGTGGATGTGAGGGGACCGCCTCAGTAGGGTGGACACGGTGACCTCTGCGGCCTTGGCAGTGGTGTGGAAGTTCCCCAGGGTGCGGGTGCGGGGGACCCTGCAGGCCTAGGCCAGGCTTTGTGGGAAGGGGAAAGAGAACCAGGCAAAAAGACTGCAGACCCAGAGCGGGTGAAGGAGAGCAGAGGCGAAGGTTCGCAGCAGAAAAGGAGTGAAAAGGAGGAGACTAGTGGAAGGTAGAGGCGGCGCGGGGTCGACCACACAGCCCGGGCGCGCGTGCCCAGTTCCTTTCGCGCGCCTTTGGGCTCCGCAGCGCCGCCTGGCGGACACGCAAAGCTCGTCCTGGGCTCTGGCCGCCAGCAGCTGAGCTGGGCTCCCGCTTGGTTTTTAGAGAGCGGCTGGGAGGAGAGACGAACCAAACGGCGGCTGGGGGCACCCCGGGCTGGCTCTGGCCCGGTCTTGGCGAGCTGCACAGTCTGGCACCCTCTCTTCACGAACCCCCTACCCTGGGTGACCGGCTGCGTCCAACAAGTCGGGGGATCCTTTCTGTTCTCCATCCTGGCCTGCAGCTCAGGAATTTTGCAGCCTCTGCTGCGCTGTTCCGGGAAGAGGGTCTCATTAAAATTTTAAGGGGTTTAGAGTTTGGTTAATAAAATGCCAAGAAGGGGCCACGAAGACATGAGCGTCCCTAGTTCATCTCCTAGCTGGGCCCAGGCCTGAGTCCCAGGGTAGGTTACTTTCCAGGGCCTTGCTTGCCCAAGATCTTGGAGGTCCAGGCGTGGTGGTGAGGGACCTTGCCCGAGGACTCGAGGCAGAGGCAGCGAAGCTTGGGGATTGCAGGGCCCAGAGGCGCGCGGTGGGTGCTGCTGGGAGGGTGCACAGCGGCCTGGCTTTCAGGTCCGCAGCCGCGGGCACTGGAGTGTTGGGGACAATGGCCCACGTCGTCCTCTCCCACCTGGGGTGTGGGTGTCTGTCCCAGAGCCCCGGGTGACAGCCGCCCCTTTGGCCGGGGTTCTCCAGGAGCCAGGCCCAACCTGGCCTCTCTCAGACCGGAGTGGGAGCGGGACCGCGGCGTCCCAGCACCCGGAGAGCCTGGTCGCCCTCGTGTGCCAGCTCCGGTGATCAGGTCCGGGGGCGTCCGGGCAG